TCACACCTGGACAACCCACAGGCAGACCACAGAACATCAAAGGTAAGGAAAAATCTTCAAAGACATCGGAGGTTCAAAGAGTAGGGATGGCCGCAGCCAGGGATGGTCCCACCCTCTAACCGGTCAGACTCAAACTGAGCACCCACTACTTGCTGGCCTTGCTCTCCTGCTAAAACGCTCTAGCTCTGTTTCTGTAAGAGCATGTTTTACTCTTCTTCCTGGTCTGGCCCAGGCCATAACCCTTCCTCTAGGAAGTCTCCCTGACCACCCCTGTTCCCAACACTCCCCCTTGCTCTTCGTCACTGTCCCCATCACAGTCCGTCCCCCACCACTGGGGGCCCATGCTCACTGGCTGCTGTCCTTGGGGTGTTCATCTTTCCCCCACATAAGCAACAAGTACTGGGAGCCCTGGGGCCTTATCCATGACCTTGCTCTTCTCCCCAGGTTGGCGTGGTGCTGGCAGGCTATGTGCACGTGTACAGTGAATATCGAACTCTTAATTGATCCTTTGGAGTCAGATTTGAGTTAAATTCTCATGCTGAGTCAAAAGTGGGCCCACTTTTACAAGCTCTTTGGGCCCCTTTGAAAGTGTATTTCCACTTGATGGTCTGGCCAGGGGAGAGTTAATAGGCACTTTTCAGCTGCATTTTAAGCCTGTCATTATATTACTTATGATCGTTTTTAAAATAATGCCTTTTTAAACTAATAATCAAATCCTCAGTGTCTAGAAGAGCACAGGAAGTAAAGAAACATCACTTGTAATCCCACTGGTTAAAATTGATGATGATATTTATTTATTCATTCTACATTCACTAGATATTTGCTAAAGACCTATTTTGTTCCAGGCACCACACTAAGTTATAGGGGTGCGGCAATACCTATTTCACTATAGTTTTTGTTTATTTTCGTAGATCTTTGAGTGTATAATATGCAAATTTACAAAAGTGCTCTCCTAGCTTATATACTATCTTGTACCCTGCTCTTTACAGTGTAGATCACAAGGTCCCAGCATTTTCTCAAGCATTATCTTTAAAACATGCTTTTAATTAATCAGCTGCCTAAAATTCATTTTATGGATGTGTTATGATTTCTTTAATGAGTCAGCACCCCTACAATTACCTCGCCTTTGAAACCCCCGCTTCTGGGCCCAGTGGATGAGTGGGAGGGCAACCGGAATGTAACAGCATCAACTTCGAGGCAATTCGGGGGCCTCAGAGGGCGTGCGTCAGAGCTGGGGTCTGGCCTCACTGGGGCGTTCACGTGGCCTGGACTTTGGGTGGGGCTCTCAAACATAAATTCCCGGGTCAGACCGTGGCCCTAAGAGGGTTAGGCCAGAGCAGGAACGAGGGGGCCCAGAACTGGTCATGAAGGCATCGCCTGACCTGGGGTGCGGGGGCCGGGGCCAGCTGGCCTCCCGGGAAAGAGGCCCCTGGAGTGTTGCTGCACTCGGCTCTGAGCCACAGGAACCGCCTAGAACTGAAGATGCTGTGAAAGGACGTGTCCGGCGGAGGGAAGGGGAACAGGTGAGGGGGGGACCTCCCTCATCTCCCAGTTCTAGGCTGAGACAGGAAGCGCCCTTTGAACCGAATGGACTGCCTTCTCATTCTTCCAGCTCCTACAGCCTCCTGCCCCTGGCGGTGGACTGGAGTGAGGCGGGCGATGTTTATTTTCTGGCTGTGTGCCCGCCACTGACCCTCATCCCGGGAATGCGCTCGGGCCCATGGATGGCTCCGCTTAGACGCGCTGTGGTGGGCCCGGACGACAAGGGCTTGATGCCCTGCCAGCCCATGCTCCGATGCCGGCGAGGAGGTTTAGACGGGTCCCGTGAACGCTCGCATGGCGCGGTGGCCCCGCAGGCAAGGGCAGCCTCGCCCCTCATTCACTCAGTGGGTGAGTGTGGGGAGCGCACCGGTGATGTACCCGAAACTCTGTGGTGCTGGGTTGTAGGAGCAGGCGAGTCACACCGTCTCCTCCTAGGCTGCCTGGCATCTTCCCGTGATGTCGTTGCTCCCATTTTTCAGAGGAGGAGACTGAGGTTGCAAGAGATCAAGAAAGCCACGCTGCTCACCTGGCCGGCCCAGGGAAGAGCCAGGAGAGGGGCTGGTCCCGGGTGGCCCCGGCCCCTCTGGCACGGGCACACCCCCTCCCCCCAGGCCTCGGGAGGCCGAGCTCCCAGATACGCCCACCCCGGCCACTGCATGCATTCAGGAGGCACGCCTGACTCGGGCACGCGTGGCTCATCCTGATTCAGCATGACTACACACAGCGCTCCCTCCCGGCTCCTGAGAGGTGGCAGCCCAACCGGCCAGGGCTGAGTCTGTGCACTGACATCACCCCGGAGCAGGGCGGCAGGCGAGTGGGCGGCAGAAGCCGGGACCTCCCTCAGGTGTTTATAGGCCCGGGCTCGGTGGGGGAGGATGTGAGGCACGGGGTGAAGCCCGGGGAAGGCAGGAGCTGCCCGGTCCTCCTGGAAGCTGGGTTCCCGCTGCCTCCACTAGCACACGCTGCCTTCCAGGCCGGGCCCGCGATCTGACTTGGAGCCCTCTCCCCCTGGGGCCCGGCGTCCCTCGGAAACGACCCGCCTGCCCCTTTGCTGATATAAATGGGTTCTTCTGTACCAGGTAATTGCAGGGTGATGGTGCCATGCTTGGGAATGCTCAGATGGTGGCAATTTTTAAATGTGCCCAGCTCATGGCCCCTCAACCTCCAAGATGGCACCCACTCTTTTCAGGGGTGTCTGGAGGACATGTTGGATGAGGGATGCGGGAAGGAGACTCAGATCAGCCAGTTCAAGAAAAAGCCTCCTTTTACCCTCAAGTTATTGCTGGTCTGACCTTCCAGAAGGATGCTCAGGGGTCCTGGCCTGGGAATTGTGGGGGCTCCTCTCACCTGGGGCAGGAATCTCAGCAGAGCCCTGGACCCAAGTGGAGTTGTTTTTTGTTGTTGTTGTTGTTGTTGTTTTAATTTATTTATGATGAAAGAGAGAGAGAGAGAGAGGAAGAGAGAGAAAGCAACATCACCAGTGCTGGGGAGGAAATGCAGGCAACAAGTGTGCTCCCAGCAGGAGAGAGAGAAGGCCCACAGGGCCCCTCCATGCTGGCCGTTGATGAGGACGCTTTCAGACTTCAGAGTCCCAGCTGGGGGCCCGTGGCAGGAGAGCCCAGTGGTTAGGAGGTGTGTGTTCTGAAATAAGGCAGATCCAGGCTCAAACCCAACCACCTTCACCAACTCCAGGAAGCCACCCGCCACCTTCCTGACTCCCTTCTCTGCTTCCCTGTTTCTGAGGTGGGAGCTCGAGAGCCAGCCTGGTGGGCTGAGTGGGGAGAGGGGAGCGTCCCCATTTAAGACGCTTTGTTCTGGGCTTGGCATCCACAGGCTGCAAGCCACTGTGGCTGCAGGTGGCCTCAGGTGGAATCACCTGAAATTGCCACTGTTCAGCCATTTTTGACCTACCAGGCAGCGGTGTCTCAGGGTGCGAGCTGACCTTGCCTCTCCTGTGGTCTGTGTGCTGGGGGCCCGCCCAGCCGCCCCCAGGGGTCAGTCCTGGCTCAGGGCCTGCAGGGCCGCCTCCTCCAGCTCCGTCCTGCCAGGTGGGGAGAGAGGCCCTGGGGAGGAAGCTCCTCGCCCCAAGATGCACGGCCTGTTGGGCATGAACCTGGGCCCAGAACGCAGTGTCTGACCGAGTTCTCTTTCCACTGCCTCAGCCTGAAGCTGCTGCCATGTTGGGAGCCAGAGCTGGGGCCCAGTGGGCGGCTCCTTACACCAGGGGCGAAGGCATCCCTGGAAGTAATGAGGTGCAGGACGGTGACACTTTCCAGACGCCTCCCCTCCCCCCCAGAGGCAGGACCAGAGAGGCTAGAAGTGTCTGTAGCCCCAGTCTGACACTTAGGGGCCGGGTCAGCTCCGTTTGCTCATCTGTATGAGAGAAAATGACAGCGTTGCCTTCATGGCGGTGTCGTGGGGATCAAGTGAGTACAATTTGTGAATTGTATTGTAAATAATACAGCTTGTAAATACAACTTCCAGTTGTTGTTTTTTTTTTTTTTCAAAAAAAATTATACAGCCCTTGAAGGGTGCCCAGCACAGGGCAAGGGCCTCTTAGGCGTTTGCTGTTATTGCCATGGAGACGTTTGGGGATCATTACTGCCCGTGCATGTGTGAGTTTGGGCTGGCGCTGAGTTATTGAGAACAGAAAAGAACCCTCTAGAATGGACCCCAAGACGCCCTTTTCCGCCACCCCACTCCCGCCTGCGCCAGCTGTGGCTCTAAATACACAAGGGACAAAGATGAGCAGCCTGTGGCTCAGGGATTAGTGCGTTTTATTCTCCAAGCTTCCCAAGTTTCCAGAACAATGCAGGGCTCAAGGAAGGGGCATAACACCTCTTTGCTCCACGGAAAAATAAACTCGTCCCCACCCTAAAGCATCTGAGCCTAAAGGAGAAATCCAGAAAGCAGCCAGAGGTCCTATGGAAGTCCTTCAAATACTTGAAACTCAGGCCTTCCCAAGTCCTCCCTAGTTCACCCTCCGAATCATACGAATTCTCCTGTTTTCTTGCCAAGAGCCAGGCTCTCCTCTCTGTTGTGAGAGTCTGCTTCTCCAGGTTTTTATTTTACCTCACCGGGAACATTGCAACAGACTCACCCTCTGCCCCCTATCCCCTGAAGCCAAAAGAGTTACTTCCTAAAGAATAATCAGGTTAGAGCACTCCCTGTCCTAAACAGATTTGAAATCTTCCCATTGCCTCCAGGTTAAAGCCCAGCGCCCCACGGCCAATGAGCACAGGCAAAGATGCTCCACGTGGCTTAGTCATTGGGAAATGCGAATCACAACTTCACGCCCACTGGGATGACTATTTTCAAAAAGACCCGATCCCAGGGTAGAGGAGGATGTGGAGAGCCCGGAACACTTGATCCCAGCTGGCCGGCCGTGAGCCAGTCTAGCGCTGTGGGAAATGGCCTGGCAGCTCCTCGGAAAGTTAAGCGTAGAATTCTCATGTGACACAGCACTTCCACTCCAAGGCAAATACTCAAGAACCTAAGTAAATCCGAGTCAATTTTCTAGAGAACACTGGTATGCTGAATCTTTCCCCCATTTTTATTTCGATTTTGAATTGTATTGATTTTGTCTCACCTACATTTCATAACAGTTTCCGCAGCCACCGTTATGGCTGCCAAGTCTGATCTTCTTGGGCTCCAATTTTTCAGGTCGAGATGTTATCCCAAAGGTGTGGTTCTTTTTCCCACAGCTGGGCAGCCGCACGTTACCTTGTGCGGCATGCGCCCCTACTAGTTTTATTTTGTGATATTGTCCTAACAGTATTGTTTGTTTTAGATTGGCTGAGATACTCACAGTTTCCATTTATTTCTCAAACATGTTAAATAAGTTTTAAACAGATAATAATGTTCCCAGCAGGGGAGAATGCAAGCCGGGGGGGAAGGGTATGCAGAGGAGAGGCTGCGTGTGTCCTGGGGAAGCCACAGCTGACCGCCCCCCCCACCCCGAGCCCCACACCTGGCCGTGCTGCCCTTAGAGCACCCAGTTAGGTGAGGGGGCCAGGTGTGCTGGGCAGGCCAGCCACCAGGTGCAGCCCTCCCTGGGGACGCCCAGCAGGGGCTCTCTTCAGCTGAGGGCAGCCTGCTCAGCCAAGGGCCCTGCTCTGCAGCGGGCGCCCCCCGCAGCTGGGGACCCAGGCAGCGCAGCATGGGCGCCGCCGTCTTACACGCTATCACCAAGTTATCTCTGGCCCTCCCTGCCCTTTTTGGCCAAATGCTTATTTTTAATTTTTATTTTTGGCACCCCTGGGGGACTCTCCCAGCCCGGGTGAGCTGTCGGGAGCCTCTGTCTTCCATTCCAGAAGCGTCCCCCTGGCTCCCGGGTTCCGCCTGCACGCGCTGGGGGCGGCTAGGGACGCAGCCTCAGGCAGCCGGTGGCAGAGAGCCCGGAGAAGCAAGGCTTTTCCCGCTTTTTTCTTTTTCTCTAAGGTGACTTTCCAGGGCTGTGGAGTTATAAAAAGCACCTATGTGTCATTCTCTGGCAGTTCGACAGCTGTAGAATGTCACTTGGCAAGGCCTCCTATCCAATCCAAGGCTTAGCATTTGACTGGCAAAAGCAGTTGAAGGTTATCACAGACTTGTCCTAACCAGGTTTGTTCACTTCGAGTAAAAATTCAACACAAAATACACTTTTCCACATTCCCCTTCCCTGAAGTCTCATGGACAGAGAGCTGCCAAACTCCAAGGCAGGCACATGCAGAGCTGGCAGGCAGGACCTTGGAAGGCAACGAAGGGGACAAATCCCCTGGGGAAGGAGGACAGGCCAACAGCCTTGGTGGGCTCGCCTGTGGGGTGGGCACCCCCTGCCGGGGAGGACGGCTCAGTCCCATCTCAGGATGTGACCGCAGGGGGCGCTTCCCTTGCCTCCCCCAGGCCCCATGGCACCCTGCCCCATGCTGCAGAGGGAGACAGTGTTCCGGTCGGGGTCCCACGCCTACAGGATCCCTGCTCTGCTCTACCTGCCGCAGCAGAAGACCCTGCTGGCCTTCGCGGAAAAACGGATGAGCAAGAAGGACGAGCACGCTGAGCTGATCGTCCTGCGCAGGGGAAGCTACGATGCGTCCACCCACCAGGTGCAGGTGAGGCCCGATGAGGCTGCCGTGGCCCCGCTGGGAATACGAGGACCATACCATCCTCAGATGGCTGGGGTCCGGGGGACAGAGGGGAAGGAGACCTTGAAGCCTAAGGGGGACCCAGAGCCCAATCATGGATGAGGCAGAGCACGTAGCCCCAAGTGGCCACCCAGAAAACATGGGTTCGCCAGGACCAAGTCCAGCTGGCCCGGCAGCATCGGCTTCAAGCCATAACTGGGCTAGTCCAGAGAAACTGGTGTTCGAGAAGGTTCTTCTGTGTTATGGAAACCCCAAGGGAGGCCTAGTTTATCACACAACTGGGGTTGTATCCTTAGGAGGGGGTGCTGGGAGGGTGGGAGTGATCACTGTGTCCTCCAGTTCCAGCATGTAGATCAAGCCATCAATTTTGACAAAGACACCCAAGGCGGGCGCATCACACACACACACGGGGTTTAATATCAGTACCATCATTCCTGTGGCCCTTATGACGTCGCTGTAGTTCGGAGCATGGGGTTCGAAGCAGATGGGCCTGGGTTCAAGTCCTGGCTCTGATGCTTCCCAGAGGTCTGGCCTTGGGTATCTCCTGTGCCCCATCTAAGCCTCTCGTTCCCCAGATGTAGCAGGGAGCGCTTATCACCTCTCCCCTCGCCCCGCCCTGGAGGCAGGGGTTAGGGTGGGCGAGACAGCGTAAGGCTCCTGACAGAGGCTGCCTTTCGATTGGCTCGCTGGGGGAGAGCCGGTAGCGAACGGGGGTGGACAGCGGAGGCGCCGCAGGTGTGACATCGACCCGGGGACCGTGGAAGCGCCGTGTGAGCCCTTTGTGCGGTGGAGCTGCCCCTCCTGGGTGGCAGGACTGGAGTATGATATGGAGAAGATGGGGGGAGATTGTCGTATTCTGTCCCACACAAGTCAGATGATCGTAGTTACTTCCTGGGCTTCACTTTTCCGGGACAGGACGCTGGGCGGGGCTGGTCCGTTGAGGGGACCAGGAGGAAGCTGGGAATGGCTCATGCCTGAATGGTCTCTGACCCTTGAGGCCTAGCCCAGCATAGGTGCTCTGTGTCCCGTGTTGGTGGGCAGGAGGCAACGACCCTCCCAGGTCAGTCGGCCTCGTTGGAGAAGGTGAGGGGGAGCTGGCTCCCACGGCTCTGGGAGGCGGTGTGAGGGTGCTAGATGAACACCTTTTCTCGATGACCTTTGACCTAACCCCAGGAGATGCCCGCCACCCAGAGTGCAGCTCCCGCTACTGTCCCTGGTCATGTTAAGGCAGCGCTTCTCTTCCCTCCTCTCCTCACATTCAGTGGCACGCTCAGGAGGTGGTGGCCCAAGCCCAGCTGGAGGGCCACCGGTCCATGAACCCGAGCCCCTTATATGACAAGAAGACGGGGACCCTCTTCCTCTTCTTCATTGCCATCCCCAGTCAGGTCTCCGAGCACCACCAGCTCCACACCAAGGTCAACGTGACACGGCTGTGCCACGTCATCAGCACCGACCACGGGAGGTCCTGGAGCCCCGCCAGGGACCTCACCGGCTCTGCCATTGGCCCCGCCCACAAGGAATGGGCCACATTTGCGGTGGGCCCAGGGCACTGTCTGCAGCTGCACAACGAGGCGATGAGCCTGGTGGTGCCCGCCTACGCCTACCGCAACCTGCACGCCCACCTGGGGCCCAGCCCCTTTGCCTTCTGCTTCATCAGCCACGACCACGGGCTCACGTGGGCAAGAGGCAACTTTGTGGCCCAGGACACCCTGGAGTGCCAAGTGGCCGAGGTCGGGGGCGCGACACAGAGGGTGCTGTATCTGAACGCTAGAAGCCGCCTCCGCGCCAGGGTCCAGGCCGAAAGCACTAATGACGGACTCGACTTCCGGGGCACCCAGCCAGTGCAGAAGCTCGTGGAGCCACCCCACGGCTGCCACGGCAGCATCGTCAGCTTCCCTAGCCCCTGGGGGGGGTCAGGCTCCTCGGACAAGTGGCTGCTCTACACCCACCCGACAGACCCCCAGCAGAGATCCAACCTGGGCGCCTACCTCAACATGCGACCACCAGCTCCCGACGCCTGGTCCCAGCCCGCCCTGCTGGCCGAGGGCAGCTGTGCCTACTCAGACCTCCAGAACCTGGGCGTCGGCCCCGACGGCTCCCCCCAGTTTGGGTGTCTGTACGAATCTGATAACTACGAGGAGATCGTCTTCCTCCTGTTCACCCTGAAACAAGCCTTCCCCGCTGAATTTTCACCGCGGTGAGCCTGCCACAGGCTGCTCCCCGCCCCTCCCCCCAGTTCTTGTCCCCCTGACTGATGGGTCTGCCTCTGACTTCGCAGGACGCCCTTGGTTTCCATCGCTGAAAGCGCGAGGTCTGCTTCTGGGCCTCTGTCCTCCCGGGTTGTTTCTCCTTCGTAGAGGATTCTGTTTTCAGTCCAGGGTCTGCGGGAACCTGGCTTCCCGCAGCGCCTTGACAGGGCAGGTGCGGAGAGCTCCGGGTGCTCCCCCAGCCCCTGGCTTCTGTGCGCGTCTCAATAAATTATCCAGTGCATCCCAGTTCTTCTTGGGGAGAAGCGTTTCTGGGGAAAGGCTGAGACAGTGCTGTCAGGGAGCAGAGATGTGTGACGGTGGGTGTGTGAGTGTGTCTGCACGTGTCTGCTCAGGAACGCTCTCGGGCAGATGGTCTGGGGAACAGCGTCCCGGCGGGGGTAAGGCAGCATCTAGGAAAATCAAGCTAGCTTAAGTCACTGGATAAGTTTCCCTGGGCTTCCATAACAAGTGACCGCAAACTTGGCGGCTTAAAACAACAGAAATGTGCTCTCTCACGGGTCTGGAGGCTGGATGTCTAAAATCGGGGTGTCTGAAAGGCTATGTCCCCTCCCAAGGCTCTAACGCAGGGCCCTTCCTGCCTCTTCCGGCTTCGGTGGCCCCAGGTGTTCCTTGGCTCAGGGCTAGGTCACTTCAATGCCTCTGTCCTCTAATGCCTTTCTCCTCCTTCTCCGGCACAATCTCTTCTGTCTCTTGTCAGGACGAGACGCGCCTGTCGTTGGATTTAGGACACAGTTGGGTGATCCAGGGTGAGCCTTCACCTAATCACCTCTGCAAAGACTCTTCTCCAAATAATGTCCCCCTCACTGATTCTGAGAGTTAGGACCTGGGTGTGCCTCTCGGGGGCCCTCATTCCGTCCACTGCAGCCATAATAAGTTGTTTTTGTACGAGTGATGTGGCTCCAGGTAAGAATGAAATTCAGACAAATCAGATGACTCAGAAGTACAGATGGGGCGGCAGGGATCGAGCTGTTGAACGTGCATCTATGACACAGAGCTGCTCTGGGGCACCCGGGCCTTGTGGTGACAGGTACGTCACCAGGTGGAGAGAGAGGGGAGAGGGTGCTTTGCCTGTATAGCTCTTGCCCGGGTGTCCTGAGGGAGACCACCTGAGATGGGGCCTGACCTCAGTGAAGGAGACGGACACCTCTCCGAACGCCGGGGTCTTCAGGGGCCTTGGTCACAGGTCCCTGTGGAGGAGTCAGCTGACCCCGCGCCTCCTAATCAGCTCTTTTACCGATTGGATCAGCTGGGCAGTGTGATGACAGAGGGACCGACGACAAAGGCCGTGGGTCGGGGCGGTTGTGCTGTGCCTCTGTGTGGCCAGGCAGTGGAGAGATGGAATTTCCACCGTGTGCGGAGCTGGAGGTGCGGCTTTGGTGCTGGGCGCGGTTCTCGGCACAGGCCTCATACCTGGGGGCTGCGTCTCCCTGGGGGTTTTAACAAGTCCTCCTGGAAAGATGAGGAATTGGGGCCTGGTCATTGTTGAGACGGGTCCCTCTGCTTCAGAGATGCCTGCCTGGTATCTTCCAAACCTGCAAGGGTAGCTGGTGGGGGCGGGGGGCGGGGGCATCCGGCCTGAGGCTGAGGCCGGAGGGCCGGACAAGGGCATGCAGGCAAGAGGCAGCGCGCCCTCCAGAGCGAGCGGCCCTACAGTGCGCTATCCAAATCGGGGCCCTTCTGAAAGTGACATGCTATTAATTATCACGCCAAGACAGTGGGCATTAACCAGGCCTGTGCCTGGCGAACTGAGAGGTTTCACAGAGAGAAGCCCTCCAAGGATCACCCCAGGGACCGGCTTCTGCCCACCGCAAGGGAAGAGTCAATTACCTGTTAAGGGCCGTGACATGAGGCAGGACTGAGAGAGGGCATCTGGCCACTGCCAAGCAGAGTGCCCTCCCTTATTCCCTACCCCGCACGGAAGCTGGTGGGTCTCAATTCCAACTGCTTGTTTGAACTCCCTGGGGAGTTTTTTAAACCAGGCTGATGCCTGGGCCCCGCACCTGACCAGCCGATTCATGATCTCCGGGAGTGGGACCCAGGCATTGGTATTTTTTTTCAAAAGTTTCTCACGTTATTCTAGTGAACATAAGGCTTAAGAACCATTGACACAGATGATCTCCAAAGTTATTCTAGTTCTGAATGTATACAAGCACCAAAGTCTTCTGATTTGAATTTTTAAAAAGTTAGAGTTTATTTGCTTAAAGTTAAACTGTTCTCTTCAAAACAATCCACTAAGGGTGAAAAGAAAAGCTATAGAAGGGGAAAAGACATGTATTATACCTATATCTGACAAAGGACTTGTCTCCAGAATATATAAAGAGTAACTACAAACCAATAAGAAAAAGACAAACAGTCCAATAAAAATGGGGAAGAACCTTGAACAGGCATTTCACAAAACAGGATATCCTAAAGGCTGCTACACAAAAGGTCATCAAGAAAATGCAAGTTAAAACCATGAGACACTTATACACTTGAATAACTAAAATTAAAAATACTGACAACAGCAAGTGTTGTCAAGAATGTGAAGCAAACGGAACTCTCATACATTTCTGGAAGAAAAGTAACTAGTAGGAAAGATGTTTGGTAGTTTTTACTAAAACTGAACATGCAAGTGCTCTATGACCCAGCGATTCCACTCTGAAGTATATATCACAGAAAAATGCATAAATACACAAATGAGAATATTGACAGCATTTTCATTCATAAGAGTGTCAAACTGGGAGCAACCCACATGTCAATTGAAAACAGAATGTATAACTATATGGGAGATATTGATGCAATGGAATATTACCCAGTAATAAAAGAATGAACCACTGCTCCATACAATGATGTGGCTGATTTTTAGACATTATGTTGAGGGAAAGAAGCCAGATTCAGAAGAGTACATACTTTGATTCTACTTATGTGAAGTTCAAGAACAGGCAAAACCAACATATGGTATGTGAGTCAAGAGAGCGTCCTGGTCTGGTGGACGAATACTGTTCATGGGAAAGGGGCTGGGAGGGGGCTTCCGGGTGCCGGGAACTTCCTAGAATGTGACCTGGTGCTGGTCGGGAGGGTGCACCCACATGTGAAAATTCAGTGAGCTGTACACACAAGATTTGCACACCTTACTGTATGCGCTATACCTCAATAAAATATACAAGTTGAACTGACTAGGGGATTTGCTCATTAAACCTCCAAATCAATAGGTTAGACTGGATTATAAAACTTTAGAACTGCATTTTTAAAATAAGCTTTTTCAGGGGGGATCATTTTAGATTTACAGAAAAGTTGCAAAGGCAATATGGAGTGTCCCCGAACGCCCCACCCCCAGTTTTTCCCCAGGTGAGCGTCGGACATCACTGCGGTACACTGGTCAGCCTGCGAGATTGACACTGTACGTGCTATTAACCAAACTCGAGACTTTATTCAGATTTCACCAGTTTTTCCATTAATGTCCTTTTTCTGTCCCTGAATCCCACTTAGGACGTATTCAGAGCATTTAGTGAAACTGAACTGTCATTATGATTTGTGCCCATAGAGACAAACGAATACCCACAGGAGGGTGCGTAGCTCCAGCAGGCCCTCTACCCACCTTCCCCGAAAAACCCACTTGTTAAGCAAATGAAGGAACAAGCCAACTCCAAGAACACGTGCTTCAGGCCCGGGCTGCCGGACTGAAAATGTCAGAAGTAGTTCAGCCTCCGAAGGCTCGGGCAGGTGGCCCCTGAGGTCAGTTACACCAGAGCTTCAGGCTGTGGCCCATGGCACAGAGCACGGCCCGGGACAGCAGGGGCCGGGTGTGGCATGTGTGTGTGTGTTTGTGTGTGTGTGTGTGGTACTTGGGCACTGCTCCTTCGCTGCCCGGCCCAAGCTGGGGGGGCTCTCACAGAGCAGCTCCCCGCGGCACTCGGCCTGGCGATCCGACGAGCGGGGTGCAGACACAGCAGGAGCAGGGCGCGGGGCGCGGGGCGCGGGGCCTGCCCTCACGCACCCTCCCCTCAGAGCAGGCCTGAAGGTCCAGGCGTGGGGAGGTCCTGGTCCTCGCAGATGTTTGATTCAGGGCGGAGGCGCTGGAGCCCCCGTCACCATCAGGGACCCTGGGACGAGGCCCATCATTTCCGTCAAGTCCCACTCACTTCCCCGCTTTGTTTGGTCAAGGCGTCCGACGGCTCATGAAGTGACAGTGGAATATTGCAGCCTTACGTGGTGCAGCCTCATGCGTGGCAAAGACTGCTGAGCTGGCCTGCTAAGGACCCTGGGACGAGATCTAGGTCAGGGACGTGGCCAAGGCCACCTTTCCCACACCACCCACGCCCGGCGCCAAGAGTTCCGTTTGCTCCCCCGGGGGATGGCTGAGGCCACCATACACAGCAGATGTGTACTGAGTGTCAGCAAGAGGGAGACGTTGTTCTAGGAGATGGGGATTCAACCGGACAGACCGACCGGACAGAGCCACTTTTCTCAAGAACCCCTCATCGTACGGGGTCAAGTGGATAATAAACACGTAGCAACTAAGTAGGAAATGCAACTCCCCTGATTAGTGATAAAGAGAGCGTAGAAGGAACAACATGGTCAAGAAGGAGTGGTGGCTGCTGTACCCGGGGTCACTAGAGGCTGCATCTCTGAGGAGGTGACATGGTCACGGAGGCCCCGAGGTCCTCCCCGAGGAGCCATAGCCATGGGCTGAGTGTCCAGCAGGCTGGGGGGCCCAGGACATTCACCCCTCCCTCTCCGTAGGGCCACCCTGGGGCCCGGTTCCGGGTGTCTGCCTGCGCTTGGCGCTGCAGGTCCCGTTATGGCCCCAGGAAGCTGTGAGAAATGCATATCCTGGAGTTCTCCTGAATCCCACAGACCTTTTGGATCTGAAGCTCCAGAAACCCATTTTAACAAGCTTTCCGGGTGATTCTGGGGTGTGCCAAAGTTTAAGGTCTTGGAGAATCCCTGGT